GCCGAGCTTTAATGAAACACAGAGACCCAGACGTAATAGTACTGTACTGCATCATATTATTTTCGAATCAATAATTTTTGAAATTATGATTTATTTATTTTTAATCTTTTTTTTTTTAATTTATTTTTTGTATAACCATTTTTCCTTCTGGTCTCTCGCATTGCTCAAAAGTTGAACATTGCTCAACTTTTGCAGCGAGCAACGCGTAGCGACGCTCCCACAATGCAGTTCGGCGAAGCGTAACGTCACCCCATTCAAAGTGAACGGGCAGAAGCGTTGAAGCTTCAACGCACGCCGCTGTGTGGACGGGCCGTAACAGTTCACGAGCATGCTCCACTAGCACGCGGATATAAGGCGCTGTTGTTAAAGAGGTGGAGTGAGAGTCCTCTCCTGTCAGACTGAGAGGCTGATAACTACAGCTCAGTGAGGTGAAGGACTCTCTGAGTGTTTAGAGAGTTCACTTTAGTCTAAGTAGTGGGTCTCAAATGGTTTCGTAATCATTTATGTAAATAAGTATTTCCAAAGTACACCTTTATATGATCATTATAGTTATAGTAGTAANCTAGAGGAGGTGAGGTCCACTCCCCACTCGTAAAAAATAGCACTTTACCCCTGCCTATATTCCGTGAGCTGATTATCGAGCCTTCATTGTAACAGTCGCGGGTGTGCTGTGTGTTTGCGTGTGGGGAGTTTTTTTGTGCGTGCCCGTAATAGTGTTCACTGGAGTCCAGCACCTCAGCACCCCCACTCAAAATACCTTCCCGCGCCTCTGCTTATCAGCATCAGAGTTCGGTATCAAACACAACAGACAGAGTGATATCCTGTTAGATCCTTTGTCAATTCAACATAGAACAAATTAATCAATTGAGAGGAGAGCTAATGTGCTGATTTGTATATTCATATCTGTGTGAAAATGTGTATCAAAACCTCACCATTTGGATAATTTATGCAGTTTGCCCTCTCACCTTCGCAGGAGATTTGCTCTGTGGCTGACACGCTGCTCCCTCCAGCGCTCTAGTTCAGGGCAGCTGAGCCCAGTGGCCTTCAGATGGTCCAACACCGTGATGTCTTTGCCCTGCTTCCACAGCTCGTAGCGGTCCGGCTGCAGGCAGCGTACAAACACGTCCATGGAGATCTTCACCATGTCTTTACGACAGGTACACTAGAGAAAAAAGCAGAGAAGGAAAAGATGAATGTATGTTAAGATTATAAATTGTAGGTAACACATGAAGAAAACTCCATGTCATCCTCTTCACAGTGGTAGGTTTCTGCTGTTTGTCTACATATAGAGGAGTACAAGAAGATTACCGGTAGTTATTTAATTTTTGTGTATTTATATTGAGTTTTAGAAATCTTTTATATAGAAACTATGATAAGATTCATATGAATAACACGTTTGTAATGAACTTCCCCAAGAATGTGTCTTTAATATTTTATTATTATTTTTTAAATGTGGAGTGAGAGAAGCGCTGTATGTGTGAACAAGTGAATAGAGCCAGTCACATTGTTAGCTAATCCAAGCCTAGCCCAATTTCTGCTGTCAATACAGATTATAATCTTTGTTAAAGGTGTTTTTTCACAAATGTACAATAGAAGCAACAACTTGCTCTTGGTTTGTAGTGATCTATTTGGTCCAATTTAGAGCATTAAAGCGAAATAGGGCAATTTATGTTGAAAGATATGAACTGCGCTGAAAAGGTTTGGATGATACAGCACCTTAATCTACATCTCTGTGAGGCAATAAGTGAAAGGGCGAGAGGCCAATAATTGGTGTCTCGTGGGCTTGTATATTGCATCAAGCTAAAATATGGTAGTGATTAAAAGATGGCAGGTAATAAGACTTTGCTAGATATGGAAGTGTATAGATGGTAAATGTGCAGATAGTTCAGAGGTAACCGATAGCTGCTACCCATAACCGCTCACACCTCAAGGTGCCTCCACACACCTTCAAATGACGGGTCAATGAATCATTGTGCTGACTAGAGAGGGAAGGAGCTGTAACATGAAACCAAAGCGCTGGATATAGTAGCAGGTACAGCAGAAAGTTTGGGAATGAAGGGAACAAAAACAGGGAGATGAAACAAACAAGGAATATTTTCTTTTTTGCCTCGCTTGCTCCATTACATTCTGGCCCTATTATTTCAGGAGCTGCACTGAGAGCCTTATGTTCAATTACTGGAAACACAGCGGCTCACCCTCCACAGCAAAACAATATCCTGCCTACATCTCATCTAGACACCACTTGACAGACGGAAACATTTAGATATGGTGTTGGGTGGAGGGTGTTGGAGCGGAGAAAGGGAGGGCAGAGGGGGGGGAAGTGAGCATGGATACAGCTGATTGCTACCGTCATGAAACCTTTAGCGGAAACAGCTACATGCCAGGAAACTATAAACGAAAAACAAGACATGGCTATTACACTGATTGTACCAGGCAAAATGTGCCATTTTCATTTATAAAAAGGCTCATTTTATTTTTATGAAACTATTAAACGATGTTATGGAGACTGTTGCAATCCTCAAGGGCCAGGACGAGTCACACTTTATTACCATATAAAATCTTAATTAGGGGAGGAAAACAGAATTGGAGATGCATAAGATCTGGGAAAACAAAAACTCGCCCCGAGGCAGGCAGTCAATGAGCCCTGAAGTATACTTGGGCTCCTAATGAAGCTAAATTGTTGGAGCCATAGAAAACCTCGAGCCTGGGGAATCTCTATGGATCAGTGGACACATTGATGTGCCAAGTACTAATAACAATACAAGGTTTTAGTCTGACCTGACTGACCCAAACCACAGTGGCTGAGAACATTTGATTATCCCAAATTCTTCATGCTTTAATCACACAATGGCTGATTAGGACAAAAATAACCAGAAAGATGATCTTAAGAATGTAAATAAAAACCTGTCTGTCTTTCAAGTTTTTAGACAACCCTTTATGGCAGGTGCATTGACGAGGAGGTTTTCTGTTGTAAATGTCAGCAATATTTCTACTGCGATGAAACAATGCCCACTAATCTCACTTGTGGCAAGAACACTCTCACAATATGGCTGCCCTCTAATGGCAGCGCATGGTAGAATGGTTATCATTGGGGATGTTGTGGGGAATTTAGAACAGTTGTTAAATAATTTGTGTTAAACTAAAGTGGCATTTCGACATCTTTTCATGGTTAGTTTGTTGGGAAAATATTAAACATTTGAGGATTTTTCTGTGGATACAACTTGCCCTTGGCTCCATGTAGTGTTATCTACTTAATCTAGATTAAGCCTACCACATAACTTGCATTTTGTTAGGGTGCACATAAGGTAAGGTTCAATAGAAATTCAGTATGTCCAATTACAGCAAATCTTGGTTCGCTAAGATAAGACAAGTCTGCAAACCAATATAAAATAAGACAGAGTGAGTCCTCCTCAATTCACTATCAAGATGAAAAAGTGATGTGATTTAGTCTTGGAACTGGGAGGATGATTTCTGCTCCTCTCTCTCCGACAGCCGGGGGGGAACGGCAGCAAAGTGTGACTGAGCACCAAACGAATGGAGAGCGGCTTTCATTGAGAGTACTGCAGACCCGGAACACAGAAGCTGGTTACATTCAGCAACATAATGGTGCAGCAGACATAACTATTTTCAGGAAAAATCTGCTAGCTTCTTTTTGCCATCTTCAGTGTGTTCATGGGAAGCTATTTTCTAACAAACCTGCCCAGAAACTGAAAGTACAGCATGCAACTCATCCTGGCTATTATTGCAGTGGCTTCCTTCTTGATATTACATTACATGTTACTTGCTTTTATCCAAAGTGACTTACATACTCAATACTGTGGGCAATCCCCACAGGAGCAATTTGGGGTGAAGTGTCTTGCCCAGGGACAGAAGACATGCTGACTGCAGTGGGGTTTGAACCTGTGACCCCCTGATCCCAACACCTACGGCAACCCACTGATCCGACAACCCACTACGCCACACGCCTCCATATGTGTTATTTCCTGTTTATGCCTCACAAATTAGTTTAACCGTTTAACTGACAAGTATTAGAAGCACTGGATGACACTTAAAGAGTTGATCCAAGTAGGATAAACTCCTGAGTGTTTGTCAAAAATAAACTAGGGATTTATCTCCCAGGTATCTTTTGTGAATGTGACGTTACACAGATATACATTGTAATGATGCTTGGTACATTATGTTGTGATTGGGTATAACCTGAGTCAATTGAAGTAACCATGTCCGTTTGAAGCAATCTCAGTGAGAAATGTAACCCCTGAATTACTTAGAAAAGAAAATGAAATGGCTACTACCTAATGCATATTCAGGAAGGTTGGAGAGAAGGTTAATCGAGATTGCGAAGTCTGAAATAATAGAAGTATAAGTCGGTGCACACACAGCACGCAAGGACTGCTGACAGTATGCCTGCTTTGACCGCAGGTGTGTGTTCGCTTGGTAAGTCAGACAGATGGGTCAGCAGTTGGGTAGCTTGTATTTAAGGAGACTGAGACATGAAACATGCCCAAGCTCACTCTTTTCTTTTCTGTGCCGTGTGCTGGCAGCCCCCAGACAGTGACAAATTTGATCCAGAGCCCCATCATTCAATGTCCTGTTTGGTGCTGGCAGTGAGGGCAAGAGAGGGAGGGAGACAGCCAAACCAGTTAACAGATGACTGTTGGAGCTTCAGACAGTTAAGAAGAATAAGAGAGAATGAGTGACTTCATAGTTGCCAAGCGAGTGGCTGGCACAGGCGAGCTTTACTCAAATTAAATCGGTGGAAATGACTGCCTACTAGCTCACTGAAAACGCTGTGCAATGTTTTTAAGTCTCTGCATACGAGAGCATTATTAAAAGTTAACCTATATTTGCTATTTAGAAGTAGAGTCAAGTTTAAATTACAGCATTTCGGAAAATGCTAAAACACGTAGTAACAAGCTACTGCTTGCAAAACACTAAGTATTTGGCACTGATGAAGGAGGTGTTTTATTTCTTTAAAAATCATCCTTTCCTGTGGGAAGAAAGGTAGGTGTTTTTTCTTCTTTCAAACGGTACAGTACATTGCAGGTCTCCCTTCAAAAAGAGATCTATGATCTCAATGGGACCAATCTGGTTAAATAAAGGTTCGAAATTAAATGAAATTGCTAAATTCAGCCCCCACGGCATTTGTACAGTATGTCCCAGATAAACACATTGAGTCCCATTCAGGATCACTCACTCATGAATCATTCAGAGTAAGATAGTAGGCTCAATGCCTCTTCACTGGGTTCGTCAAAAATGGCATATGATCTGTGAGATATCAGGCTTAATCTTAATGTGTTCATCCTACTGAAAAAAAAAAAAGTTGGCCCTTAAAGACTATAGTTGCTGAGAGTTGCTGAAATGGCTTTTATCTAACCAGCACTTACAAGGGAGCACAAATAGAAAATAACAAACAATATCACTTTTATGGCTATCAGTTTTTATGTAAAGGCATTCAGTAAAACTCAGGTAGTGTAAATATCCCACAGGTCATATGCCCTCATTGACAGACGACACACCCAGTGAGCAGACATTGAGCTCACTTACTTCCCGAGAACGATTCATGAGTGAGGGAGCCTGAATGTGTTCAAGGTCTCGAGGACGAACAGCACTAATGCTGTTGGGACTGAATTTAAGAAGCACTGGTTACGGGAGAATCTGTGTGAACCACTATGCTACAATACCGCCCTGAGAGAGTGAAACATGTCTGAGAGGAGGACCAAGAAAAAAAAGGTGGACTGGCAGAAAGAGCCTGTCTCGAGCCGAGCTGTTCTCTTTCATATTCCTCTGAGTGTGTGTGGTGCTGCGCTGTCGATTCGTCGACTCGGATTAGCAGTGCAGAGTGAACCACTCTTCTTTATCACACTGAGACAAGTGTGGTAGGGATGCTCCCTTGAGCTGGGTGAAGGGAAGACTGCTGGAGCCTGGGCTGCTGCTTCTTAAATTACAAGTGGCCACATGGGTAAAGAAGGAAGGCCAAAAATGAGAAATAGGGAGAAGGGAGCGAGATGTAGTTCTGTAAAAACTGGCACCTCATAAATCTGACAAGCAGCCAAGTAGAGAGAAAGGAGGGATAAGGGGCACATGTATGTGAACACTCACTATCTAGGAAAGAGAGGGGGAACTGAACGGGAAAATGAAGAGGGATGTATGGAAAAGAGACATGGAGGGGAGGTCCTTCCAGAGGACATTGGTTGAGGGCTCCCGTCCTCAACCGACCCATGCCCTGTCAATTTCATGCTCAGCAGCCCATAGGCAAAGAGGCAGCCTGCGTCAGTGGAAGGATGCGAGGGTACGGTTAGTGTCGGTAACAGATGGTGTGAGGCAGAGACCCAGACGCTGTTTTTATATTTTGATATGATCCAATACATTTTTCCTTCAGAGAACCAAACAGCCAAAGGAAAACGTTTCTGCTGAGTCACACCTCTTCAATTGTATCGTCTACATTTGCCTGCAGGATGTCTGTTTTTCTGAAACCATAATGGTAGAGATTAAGGGGGCAGGTTCCATATGTGTCGTTTCACTTGAAGATTTCTAATATCTGGAAATGTATAACTTTCCATAATCTCTGAAGAGCTACATTTAACACAGCGAAACACAGTCTGTTCTCCTTCACAGTAACACTGACCTCAGGTTATTGCTACTGTAAACAATATGTGTTAGCCAGTCTTCACTCACCTGGGTAGCCATTTTGCCGTAATCCACCCAGCGGAGGGTGGCAAAGTTTGTAGACTCTGCGCAGTTGAAGCCGTGGTTAAAGCCAGCATGGTAGCCATAAGGAAAGGTGACCATAAACTCCCCTTCATTCTGAGTTATCTGTTTGGTAAGAGAGAAAAAAAACAGTATACCTTTACACATCTTAATACATGTTACAATTGTCACATATATTATATTATATATATATATATTATATTGTGATATATGTATTGGAAATTCTCTTTTGATGTGTAGAGGTGTTCCTAAGTGGCAAAGATAATGTACAAAAATGTAAACACACAATACATCTTGAAAAATGTTTTTGTTCAAAATGAACATGTTATTTTAAAGAAATTTTAATCAAAAGTAATATTGTCTTGTATGCGAGTGCCAAAATGATGATAGCTTCATCTTATGTTATCTTATCTGTTTGTTTTTGACTAAAAATGTATTACTTGGAAATCTGCTAATTCAAGTATTCCCTGGCTTACTTCTAAAATATATTCTGTTACTACTCATTAGTCACACTTCCCCTACAACTGCCATTCAGGTTTTGGAAGTTCAACTCCTCTGAAAACAACTTTTCTCTAAACTTTTCTGACTTGCGAGCAGAATTAATTCAGCCTTACATGATTGCTGCTCCAAGGGTTGAGTGTCTCCCCATGAGCTCAGTGTTATTCTGAGAATGTGACGACAAGTTAAGCACATTCCTTTTTAATGTGTTGCCCCAAAACATAAGCCCTATATGTCTCGCTCTGAATCACAACTTCTTTGTGAAGCCTGGATCCAGGCATTCAAGAGACACATCAAGCCAGGCAAGGTGACAGCCATGAGAGGAGAAACAGGGGGAGAGGCTGAGAGTGGGAGACGAACTTCCTCTACTAAAGGCAGTGGTTCAGATATCAAACATATCTTTTGCTCTCTCCAAAAAAGCAAGAAGATGGTTTTATTTTTACACATGAATCAAGGTAGATACTGTAGGTGTGTAACGAGTAACACGTTCACTGTGATAATGATGTCTTGAAAGAAAGAAGATATAAATGTGGTGTGGGGGGGCCCTCCTCTGACAAGAAAGAACTTTGTATTCCTGCTATGTGCCAGTTTTTTTCTGCAATCTTTCATTAACTTCAGCACTGTGAAGATTTATACAAAAGAAAAAACTAAAATAATGCCAATCAATTTGCTTTGACAGACACAAGTCATTACTCAGTGTATCATTAGTGCAGTAGCTGTTGTTTACGGTAAAGCTCAGCCACTAAACTCACTAATGTTGTCATGAGTCATTCAAAAACAAGCTCACCTCCTTTTACGCAAGACCCTCACATTTCATTTCTGTTTAGAGACCAATCAGTAAGTCAGGTGAACTGCTAGAAAGAGCCTTTCTCTTGTTCCAGTAATAAGTTATACCCAACTTAATTTCCTCTTGACAACATGACACATTTCAAGCTTGTTGATTGTTTGATTTCAATGTTTTTGAAACACCTGTATGCAACTGAGTATATGTGTGTGTAGCTGTGAAAATGATTAAGAGTGAATGGGTTCATTCAGTTGGGAAATACTTAAGTTACATCCTATGTATTGTTAACATGAGGATTCCAAGTAAATGTTGTTAGCAATGATATATGAAATTCACTTGACATAGATATATTATAGTCCACCTAGGTCTAGGGCAGTGGTTCTCAAACTTTTTCTGTCAGGCCCCCCCTTTGGAGAAAAAAAAAAGTCGGGCCCCCCCAACACAAAGAGTCAGGCTCAGTGGCGGCGCCAGATATTTATTTTGGGGTACTGTGGGGTAGCTTGACGTTTCATAGAGGGTGCTCAAACATTTAGGTTTTTCCATTAATGTACCGGTTGCTACAGTGGAATTTTCTACTGCAACACTCCCCACGCAAATACACAGTGTGATTTGGAGATGCGCTATGCGCAGCAGTGCTGCGTCTTTCTCTGTAACCTCTTTGGCGTGCTTCGCACTCAAATGCGAACGCATTGTTGAGGTTGAGCTGTGATAGACCAACGTCTTTTCGCAGAGCTTGCATTTAACTTCCTTTGGACTTGTAAGTTCGAAGTAGTTCCACGAGGAGGAACTCTTTTTACCTGCCGCTTTTTTCATCTTTAGTCGCA